AACTTCCACATAAATACTAGTGCTTTTCTGTGGGAATTTATGGAAATGTAGCGATTTATCAGCTCTATCACCTTTTCTTGAGCAGCACCCAGAAACATAACAAAAGTTATAGTTTTTACATTGTTATGAAATTTAAAAAAAAATCGGAACGTCCAAAGCGTCCTAGGGTCCAAGAAAATCTCAAGGATTGACTATAAATTCGGCCGTAAAAGTAGATAATATTCTTAAGACCATATGGTATACAATATAATATAGTACTATGTTTACAATACGATCTACACCATCCTCTTACTACTTTCATTATGCCTGGAAAGTGACCTGGCACAAAAGCAATCAAGGCGCTCATCATTATTATAAACTGTGTACAATTTTTTATTCTAAGTTGCCTTAGGGATGGAAGTAATCTTTGCTGGTAAAGTGTTTGGAACAAACACGCGTATATGTTTTGATGGGCGTGTTTGAACTTAAAACTTTTTCCCAAGCTTTCCTTATTTTAATTGTTTCTTCCACTCCATCATCATTTAGAACTTCCACATAAATACTAGTGCTTTTTTTGGGAATTTATGGAAATGTAGCGATTTATCAGCTCTATCACCTTTTCTTGAGCAGCACCCAGAAACATAACAAAAGTTATAATTTTTACATTGTTATGAAATTTAAAAAAAAAATCGGAACGTCCAAAGCGTCCTAGGGTCCAAGAAAATGTCAAGAATTGACTATAAATTCGGCCGTAAAAGTAGATAATATTCTTAAGACCATATGGTATACAATATAATATAGTACTATGTTTACAATACATACAATACCATCTACACCATCCTCTTACTACTTTCATTATGCCTGGAAAGTGAGCTGGCACAAAAGCAATCAAGGCGCTCATCATCATTAAAAACTGGATACGGATTCTCAATCGTTAAGTCGATACGTAACGTCCCGACTCCCTGTAGAAAGGCAATGGGAAGTCGGGGTCGATAGGTTGCGACTAGAGGTTGAGAATCGGTGGGCTGTGTACAAGTTTCTATTCTATGTCACCTAGGGGATGGAAGTAATCTCTGCTCTTGAAGTGTTTGGAACAAACACGCGTATATGTTTTGATGGGCGTGTTTGAGCTCAAAACTTTTTCCCAAGCTTTCCTTATATCCATTGTTTCTTCCACTCCAGCATTCGAAACTTTCACAAAAATAGTACTGTTTTTTTTTGGAAATTTATGGAAATGTAGCGATTTATCAGTTCTGTCACCTTTTCTTGACCAGCACCCAGAAACATAACAGAAGTTATAATTTTTACATTGTTATGAAATTAAAAAAAAATCGGAACGTCCAAAGCGTCCTAGGGTCCAAGAAAATCTCAAGGATTGACTATAAATTCGGCCGTAAAAGTAGATAATGTCCTTAAGCCCATATGGTATACAATATAATATAGTACTATGTTTACAATACATACAATACCATCTACACCATCCTCTTACTAGTTTCATTATGCCTGGAAAGTGACCTGGCACAAAAGCAATCAAGGCGCTCATCATTATTATAAACTGTGTACAATTTTTTTTTCTAAGTTACCTTAGGGATGGAAGTAATCTTTGCTGGTAAAGTGTATCGAACAAACACGCGTATATGTTTTGATGGGCGTGTTTGAGCTCAAAACTTTTTCCCAAGCTTTCCTTATATCCATTGTTTCTTCCACTCCAGCATTCGAAACTTTCACAAAAATAGTACTGTTTTTTTTGGAAATTTATGGAAATGTAGCGATTTATCAGTTCTGTCACCTTTTCTTGACCAGCACCCAGAAGCATAACAGAAGTTATAATTTTTACATTGTTATGAAATTAAAAAAAAATCGGAACGTCCAAAGCGTCCTAGGGTCCAAGAAAATCTCAAGGATTGACTATAAATTCGGCCGTAAAAGTAGATAATGTCCTTAAGCCCATATGGTATACAATATAATATAGTACTATGTTTACAATACATACAATACCATCTACACCATCCTCTTACTAGTTTCATTATGCCTGGAAAGTGACCTGGCACAAAAGCAATCAAGGCGCTCATCATTATTATAAACTGTGTACAATTTTTTTTTCTAAGTTACCTTAGGGATGGAAGTAATCTTTGCTGGTAAAGTGTATCGAACAAACACGCGTATATGTTTTGATGGGCGTGTTTGAGCTCAAAACTTTTTCCCAAGCTTTCCTTATATCCATTGTTTCTTCCACTCCAGCATTCGAAACTTTCACAAAAATAGTACTGTTTTTTTTTTGGAAATTTATGGAAATGTAGCGATTTATCAGTTCTGTCACCTTTTCTTGACCAGCACCCAGAAACATAACAGAAGTTATAATTTTTACATTGTTATGAAATTAAAAAAAAATCGGAACGTCCAAAGCGTCCTAGGGTCCAAGAAAATCTCAAGGATTGACTATAAATTCGGCCGTAAAAGTAGATAATGTCCTTAAGCCCATATGGTATACAATATAATATAGTACTATGTTTACAATACATACAATACCATCTACACCATCCTCTTACTAGTTTCATTATGCCTGGAAAGTGACCTGGCACAAAAGCAATCAAGGCGCTCATCATTATTATAAACTGTGTACAATTTTTTTTTCTAAGTTACCTTAGGGATGGAAGTAATCTTTGCTGGTAAAGTGTATCGAACAAACACGCGTATATGTTTTGATGGGCGTGTTTGAGCTCAAAACTTTTTCCCAAGCTTTCCTTATATCCATTGTTTCTTCCACTCCAGCATTCGAAACTTTCACAAAAATAGTACTGTTTTTTTTTGGAAATTTATGGAAATGTAGCGATTTATCAGTTCTGTCACCTTTTCTTGACCAGCACCCAGAAGCATAACAGAAGTTATAATTTTTACATTGTTATGAAATTAAAAAAAAATCGGAACGTCCAAAGCGTCCTAGGGTCCAAGAAAATCTCAAGGATTGACTATAAATTCGGCCGTAAAAGTAGATAATGTCCTTAAGCCCATATGGTATACAATATAATATAGTACTATGTTTACAATACATACAATACCATCTACACCATCCTCTTACTAGTTTCATTATGCCTGGAAAGTGACCTGGCACAAAAGCAATCAAGGCGCTCATCATTATTATAAACTGTGTACAATTTTTTTTTCTAAGTTACCTTAGGGATGGAAGTAATCTTTGCTGGTAAAGTGTATCGAACAAACACGCGTATATGTTTTGATGGGCGTGTTTGAGCTCAAAACTTTTTCCCAAGCTTTCCTTATATCCATTGTTTCTTCCACTCCAGCATTCGAAACTTTCACAAAAATAGTACTGTTTTTTTTTGGAAATTTATGGAAATGTAGCGATTTATCAGTTCTGTCACCTTTTCTTGACCAGCACCCAGAAACATAACAGAAGTTATAATTTTTATATTGTTATGAAATTAAAAAATAAATCGGAACGTCCAAAGCGTCCTAGGGTCCAAGAAAATGTCAAGAATTGACTATAAATTCGGCCGTAAAAGTAGATAATATTCTTAAGACCATATGGTATACAATATAATATAGTACTATATTTACAATACATACAATACGATCTACACCATCCTCTTACTACTTTCATTATGCCTGGAAAGTGAGCTGGCACAAAAGCAATCAAGGGGCTCATCATCATTAAAAACTGTGTACAAGTTTTTATTCTAAGTCACCTTGGGGATGGAAGTAATCTCTGCTCTTGAAGTGTTTGGAACAGACACGCGTATATGTTTTGATGGGCGTGTTTGAGCTCAAAACTTTTTCCCAAGCTTTCCTTATATCCATTGTTTCTTCCACTCCAGCATCATTCGAAACTTTCACAAAAATAGTACTGTTTTTTTTTGGAAATTTATGGAAATGTAGCGATTTATCAGTTCTGTCACCTTTTCTTGACCAGCACCCAGAAACATAACAAAAGTTATAATTTTTACATTGTTATGAAATTAAAAAAAAATCGGAACGTCCAAAGCTTCCTAGGGTTCAAGAAAATCTCAAGGATTGACTATAAATTCGGCCGTAAAAGTAGATAATATTCTTAAGACCATATGGTATACAATATAATATAGTACTATGTTTACAATACGATCTACACCATCCTCTTACTACTTTCATTATGCCTGGAAAGTGAGCTGGCACAAAAGCAATCCAGGCGCTCATCATCATTAAAATCTGTGTACAAGTTTTTGTTCTGAGTTACCTTGGGGATGGAAGTAATCTTTGCTCGTGAAGTGTTTGGAACAAACACGCGTATATGTTTTGATGGGCGTGTTTGAACCTAAAACTTTTTCCCAAGCTTTCCTTATATGTATAGTTTCTTCCACTCCATCATCATTTAGAACTTCCACATAAATACTAGTGCTTTTTTTGGGAATTTATGGAAACGTAGCGATTTATCAGCTCTATCACCTTTTCTTGAGCAGCACCCAGAAACATAACAAAAGTTATAATTTTTACATTGTTATGAAATTTAAAAAAAAAATCGGAACGTCCAAAGCGTCCTAGGGTCCAAGAAAATGTCAAGAATTGACTATAAATTCGGCCGTAAAAGTAGATAATATTCTTAAGACCATATGGTATACAATATAATATAGTACTATGTTTACAATACATACAATACGATCTACACCATCCTCTTACTAGTTTCATTATGCCTGGAAAGTGACCTGGCACAAAAGCAATCAAGGCGCTCATCATCATTATTATAAACTGTGTACAATTTTTTATTCTAAGTTGCCTTAGGGATGGAAGTAATCTTTGCTGGTAAAGTGTTTGGAACAAACACGCGTATATGTTTTGATGGGCGTGTTTGAACTTAAAACTTTTTCCCAAGCTTTCCTTATTTTAATTGTTTCTTCCACTCCATCATCATTTAGAACTTCCACATAAATACTAGTGCTTTTTTGGGAATTTATGGAAATGTAGCGATTTATCAGCTCTATCACCTTTTCTTGAGCAGCACCCAGAAACATAACAAAAGTTATAATTTTTACATTGTTATGAAATTTAAAAAAAAAATCGGAACGTCCAAAGCGTCCTAGGGTCCAAGAAAATGTCAAGAATTGACTATAAATTCGGCCGTAAAAGTAGATAATATTCTTAAGACCATATGGTATACAATATAATATAGTACTATGTTTACAATACATACAATACGATCTACACCATCCTCTTACTACTTTCATTATGCCTGGAAAGTGAGCTGGCACAAAAGCAATCAAGGGGCTCATCATCATTAAAAACTGTGTACAAGTTTTTATTCTAAGTCACCTTGGGGATGGAAGTAATCTCTGCTCTTGAAGTGTTTGGAACAAACACGCGTATATGTTTTGATGGGCGTGTTTGAGCTCAAAACTTTTTCCCCAGCTTTCCTTATATCCATTGTTTCTTCCACTCCAGCATCATTCGAAACTTTCACAAAAATACTACTGTTTTTTTTTGGAAATTTATGGAAATGTAGCCATTTATCAGTTCTGTCACCTTTTCTTGACCAGCACCCAGAAACATAACAAAAGTTATAATTTTTACATTGTTATGAAATTAAAAAAAAATCGGAACGTCCAAAGCGTCCTAGGGTCCAAGAAAATCTCAAGGATTGACTATAAATTCGGCCGTAAAAGTAGATAATGTCCTTAAGCCCATATGGTATACAATATAATATAGTACTATGTTTACAATACATACAATACCATCTACACCATCCTCTTACTAGTTTCATTATGCCTGGAAAGTGACCTGGCACAAAAGCAATCAAGGCGCTCATCATTATTATAAACTGTGTACAATTTTTTATTCTAAGTTACCTTAGGGATGGAAGTAATCTTTGCTGAAGTGTTTGGAACAAACACGCGTATATGTTTTGATGGGCGTGTTTGAACTTAAACCTTTTTCCCAAGCTTTCCTTATTTTAATTGTTTCTTCCACTCCATCATCATTTAGAACTTCCACATAAATACTAGTGCTTTTCTGTGGGAATTTATGGAAATGTAGCGATTTATCAGCTCTATCACCTTTTCTTGACCAGCACCCAGAAACATAACAAAAGTTATAATTTTTACATTGTTATGATATTAAAAAAAAATCGGAACGTCCAAAGCGTCCTAGGGTCCAAGAAAATCTCAAGGATTGACTATAAATTCAGCCGTAAAAGTAGATAATATTCTTAAGCCCATATGGTATACTATATAATATAGTACTATGTTTACAATACATACAATACGATCTACACCATCCTCTAACTAGTTTCAATATGCCTGGAAAGTGAGCTGGCACAAAAGCAATCAAGGCGCTCTTTCAAATTTGGTCACAAAAATCTACTAAGCACTGTGTAGACATTTATTCTTTTTCTGCTTGTAGTTGGTGAAATCTTCTTGGTGAAGTCTTCTAAAGATTTCCTCCGCAGTTTTCTCTCAATCGCATTATGAAAGGAAAATCTATTCTTTCTATATATGAGAATGTATCAATATTTTGATTTGGATCATAGCTCATTTTGACGGAAATCTCCTGATATGAGGATCCGCTTCTTATTTATTTATTCACGGACATAGTCCAATAATAGGATCATTACAATGATACTGAAATCTTAAGTAGGTACATACTAAGTAAACAATATCCTAAAACTTAAATATATACAAGTGTATTAACGATAATGTTGAGTCCATTGACAAGAAATCTACCTCCCACTAACGGATTCACATAATATACATTTTTTTATTTTAATTTATTTTAACTTGCCATTAATTGTATTTTTTGTTTCAAATTTTTATTTCGAAAAATAAGAAAGTTATGGCTTGTAACGCTGATTGTGGGACACCCTGTATACAAGTTTTTATTCGAAGTTACCTTGGGGATGGAAGTAATCTTTGGTCGTGAAGTGATTGGAGCAAACACACTTATATTTTTTGATGGGCGTGTTTGAACCTCAAGGATTGACTATAATTCGGTCGTGAAAGTAGATAATATCCTTAAGCCCACATGGTATACAATATAATATAGTACTATGTTCACAATACATACAATACGATCTACACCATCCTTTAACTAGTTTCTTTATGCCTGGAAAGTGAGCTGGCACAGAAGCAATCAAGGCGCTTTTTCGAATTTGTTCACAAAAATCTACTAAACACTGTGTAGACATATTTATTCTTTTTCTGCTTGTAGTTGGTGAAATCTTCTAAAGATTTCTTCCCCAGCTTTCTCCCAATCGCATGATGTACGGTATATTTATTTGTCCAATAGAACCGCATCCAAATCTTTCCATAGATGAATATTTATCAATATTTTCATTTGGATCGAAGCTCATTTTGAAAGAGATTTGACGCCTGAAAAGTGACTGAGCCCAAAAATCTCAATTGAGGTTTTTCCAAAAACAAATCTTATTTCATGTTATTTTTATTATTAGAACAGTTTTATTGAGAGTCACTTTAAGTTCTCTATAAAATCCTTGAAGGTTAAGATAATCATCTGCTTCAGCCGTGTTTGGTTTTATTTCAATATGAAGGGTTGGGCGGATAATAGTTGATCTTGTCATAATCTTGAAACAATACCAGTTCCAATAGGCTAATATGTGGAGAAAATTGTGGTCACACGCTTACCTGAATTTCCCAAGGAAACTACACTTCTTTTTCTATTTACTTTAAATAATAATAATTTATTAACAAAAGGATATACCTAGATGTATTTCTTTACATTTTCTTTATAATTGTATTAACTTATTAACTAATTGTTGTAAAGATGCCTAGATGTACCGAGACATCTGTATGCATTATCAAAATCATACTTCATGATTCATAATTCCAAATATCAATAGTTCAGAATGTAACATCAGACGTTAAATCAGATTAGCGATTGGGTAGGTACTACTATTTTTGCTGATAATATACAAATACAGGATGTTTTTTAAAGATTTCAAATGGTTTTTATATATATAAAACAAAATTTATTGATTAATTTCAATTTCTCCATCTCCAGAAAAATTATTTTGAGTTCATTTGTGAATTTATATGACACTTTGAAAGTGATATACAATATACAGGTACAATATTTGATTATTCGATAAAACAGTTGTAAACGTACCTAGCAATTTTATTCTCAATTATTTATTTTTATAACAAATGGTGTATGTTTGAGGTGGATTTATAATATTATCAAAATCAAGAAACTTCTGGTATTAATTTCAATTGAGGTGTAAGTCCCAAAAAATGCAAGGTAATATTTATTTTTATGTTATACGGATACGCTAAAACTCTAACTTGTATCTTTGGACTCGAAGAGTAGATTTCCAGACTTTAATTGTAACATGTATGATTATACTAGCAAAGTATATACAAATGTTTGCTATATTGTTGCTTTTTATTTTAAAAAAATAACTCCTGATGTGATCTGCATGAATTTATTGTTACAGAGATAGTATTTACATTGGTTTAGTATAATTTTTATAAATATATTTTAATAATAAACATAAACAAAAAGGCAGGCAAAAAAAATTCACAGCCTTATGTGATATTTTGGATAGAAATGCTTTGCATTCAATAGGAACATTTTTAATAAGGTTTCGAATCAAATCGATTGATATCAATTTTTTTTCTGAAACGATCTTATGCCTTACGAAAAGACATGATAGTATTAATAATGATAGTGTTTGTTATTTTTTATGATTATTAGACCAAAAAATTGCCATGTTTTTGTGATTATTTATTGTATTTATGTAAAATATAATGATTTTTTTAGATTTTTGTATAGTTGTGCAATAAAATGGTTTTTAGGTTCAAATATTTTTTTCTTGGCACACACATTTTATTACAGATATCCAAGTATATTGGAGGTCTCTTCTGGTATAAGTGCATTCTTCCGAATTTGTGCTTGGAATTTAATTCCGTCTTGAAAGCATGCCTGATCTTGGAATGCAACAAAGTTTTTTCAATCCGATTCTAGCCTTTAATCTTTGTTTGAATAATTTTTCTTGTTTATGTAGCTATAGAGTATTACTACTAACGGGTCTTCAAAAAAAACGTAAATCAAAGATGGCTATGATTTTTCAAAACGTGTGTCTTAGCAATATTTCTCTTAAAAAAGAAAATGGAACTCTTAGGAGAGCCTATAATAAACTAAAAAATATTACAATATGCTGAAGTAGATTTCCACGGCATTTTTGCAAGAAAAAATCATCTGACAAATAAAGGTACGACTTCGAGTAGACGCTCAGAGCCGCTCTATTGTATTTTATTCCTGTTATTTTCAGCAAAAGGAAAAAAGATGAAAGATGCTCCGAGCGCTCAATGTTTCAAGCCGAACTCACGGAGTGAAACAATGATGTCAAAAATTTGTCACTGTGACAATATTTATAGAAACGGAGGGGGCATCCGTTTTTTTAATCAAAGCACTTTGAGCAAACCCTAAATTTTTCTACGTATACGTATCCGCATCCGTAAATGCATTGGCTTACGTTGACCGCCTAAAACTTTTTAAGCATGGCCATACATTACGTAATAAGGAATGGATGAAACGTCTTCTAACCTCAAAAAGGGTTAGTGTTGATTTTGTAGCTGTGTTTGTAGGTTTTCTTTATTATCTATAAGTACCCTCTGTTTATGTTGTTGAAGGTATTTTAGTGAAAACTGACAGGAAGGTCTCTCAATAGTGTGGAATGGCTAAGATACGTTTTCGGATACGGATACGAGACTAGGCCCGTAACGATGCGGACAACGAAACTACTGTGTCATTATGCGCATGATGTCAAAAATCTTTGAGTCATGCATTTTTCAACTTTTTTATAGTTTATTACACTTTGTATCTTCTTTATTCCTAAGTTAAGGTAGTCAATGTTTCTCGAAATTCTTGAGAGTTCTATTTTTCCATGCCTTTTAGTTGGTTGTAAGTGGCCATTCATTTTTCATGATTCTGTGACGTCATCACATGGCTCTCGCATCTTTGCAATAGTTATTTTCGCTGACAGATTTGGACATTCTTGGCACTTGAAAACAAGGTCATTTGAATAGAGTTTCAATAATGTTTGTCGGGACAACTAAAATATGTCGCATATGAACCCTCCCGCTAGTAGGGTTACATTTGCATATAAGTACATGGTTCCTCACATTTTGTACTAATGTTTGACATTTTTATAGTTTATTATATTTTTTTATTTTCTTTATTCCTTAATTTAAGTTGATGTTTCTCGAAAAAAATTCTTCTGTGTTCTATTTTTCTATGCCTTTTAGTTGGTTGGAGCTGACCATTCAATTTTTCATGATTCTGCCACATCATCACATGGCTCTCTCATTTTTGCAGCACTCATTTTGGTTGAAAGATTTGGACAATCGCAAGATTCACTGCAGTTTGAGGTTCTTCGGACTTGATAACTAGAAATAAACAAAGTCATTTGAATACAGTCACAATAATGTTTGTCTGACATTTTTTATAATTTATTATATTTTGTATTTTCTTTATTCCGTAAGTTTAGTTGATGTTTCTGAAAAAAATTCTTTCTGTGTTCGATTTTTCTATGCCTTTTACTTGGTTGCCACGTCATCACATGGCTGTCTCATTTTCTTATTGCCTTTTAGTTGGTTGGATCGGACTTGAAAATTTCCCATAAACCTTCCTGCTAATAGGGTTACATCTGTATATGAGTACCCCATTTTGTACCTATTTTGTATAGTTTATTATATCTTATATTTTCTTTATTCCTAGTTTAGTCAATGTTCCTTGATTTTTTTTTTCTGTGTTGTATTTTTTCATCTCTCTTAGTTGGTTTAACAACTGTTGGTAGGTACAACTTAAACATTTCGCTCAAATCCTCCTGCTAATAGGGTTACATTTGTATATAAGTACCCGTTTCCTCCCATTTTGTACCTATTCATTTTTGACATTTTTTTAAATTATTTTGTATTTTCTTTATTCCTAAAGTTTAGTCTTTTTTTTTCTGTATTCTATTTTTTCATGCCTGTTAGTTGCTTCTGTTTCAAAAACTCTTTTAAAGGCAAACAGGTAGATTATTTCTTTCTACAGTTGGATTTGATTTTTGACATTTTGTTCCGTACCTCATTTGACTGAGAATATTTTCATTTTCTCAAATATTTTCCTAGCAAAAGTCTTCCAAAATACCAATATTTATGCTAAAGTTCACATAAATATAATTATGTTTCATACATTTTTAACTTTGAAACCAAGTTGAAACACCATAATTTCACGAAAACCATTTGAATTTGCCGGGCTTTCGCTAGGCGTATACCTTGTGAAAAATTCTAGAACTACACTGCAGTTGATTTTGAATTTCGCGCCCGCATGTGACGTAAAATGGAATTTATTTTATGCGTTCTAAGTGAAATTTCTTGTATAAAATCCATTTTGTAAAGACCGCCAGTGAGCCCGTCTCTGACGTCCTCGTTTTTGATTGGTCACTGGCAAGTTGTGCGCAACTTGTGCGCCGCATGTCGGTGTGCGTTCTTTCTCTGTGGCGGGTCGGAACACATCCGCATAGTCAAGTCACCACAGTTTCCAACATGGCGGTTCTCAGTGTGTCGTGTAATCCCTGGATTCTATAGTGCTATTTCTAAGCGTAACCTTAACCCTTTTTTGACGCGATTTCTGTTAATCTAACCTTAAAAAGTTCGCATATACAATAACTGCATCGTTTTTAAGTTCAATTGGCTCTTCATAGGTTTAATATCATTACTCAATTTCGTTGTTCTTATTGGCGAAACAAAATGGCGAGTTCCCATTCTTCACTCTGAATATTATCCCTTTAAACTTTTATTTTTATTTCTTAAATGCGATTATTTCCGAAGTTTGTTTTAATAAATTAACGTGGGGATATTGGCCGTTTTACTGCACCGTATTTTGTTGAAAATCTTCCGCGTGTATTCTCGGAATTCCAAAGAAAGTTAGCCTACAAGATGCCAGAGGTAAGTTAACCCTCTAGAATTGAAACTAGGGGTGAAATTCACGATTTATTAGTTTCGTATGGTTATTAAGTGCGTTTTCTAATTGCTGTATCAATGTAAATTCAAGGGCGTGGCACCCATACTTGTAACATATTCTTCAATTTTCCATCTAATATTTTTGTTTACAAATGGTTTTTTCAATTTTTACTCATCAAGGGGGTTGTGGACCACGAAATTTTCTACATATATTTGTTCTTTAGGCTTTCCTCCATCTATTAAGACTAAAATTTTGATTTTCTGAGATGGACCCTTTTGAGCAATTTCAACTTCAAAAATTGGCATTTCTATACTCTTGGCTCACCCCACGTCCATAACAGTATATAGGACGCGTCTGAGCACCACTATTTGCTTTTTAACAGGAGGTTTTCCTTACATAACACCACTCTTTCATCAATTGTTTTATCTACATTTTTTCTGATATTCTGAGGGTTGGGGTTTGAATAGGGTCTATTTACAACCATAGGTTCCATAATTGCAAAATTAAGACCACCAACTTATTTTATGGGACTTAAATAAGGCATCATTAAGACTGTTCTTACAATAAATATGCATTTTTTTATATTTAGGGTACCTATAAAATAATATATTATTTTCCTTATAGGGCTCCTAAAATCTGATTGCTTTTAAAGACAAATAAGTGCATAAATGGACAAATGTAAGGTACATACTTAAGTTTTCCCATAACACAGAAAAATCCAAATAGGATTTCCAATACTATGCTTTAATCTCCAATACTTATAAAAGTTTAATTGGGGAGGTTTTTTGGAATGACACCCTTTATAAAATGTTCACTGCTTTTTAAGCAAATAATTTCTTGTGGTGTAGGTAACAAAAAATAAAACTGAAATATAACCGGGTTTCATTTCCACGGACAGAAATTGAGTTTAGTACTAAAAGAAGATCACTGGGCAGGTTTCATGTTGGGCGAATCCGCCCTTTATGTATAAAGTTGTGTTTTGTTTTACTCCTTTGATTACCAACCCTTTAGTCACTACCAACATTAAGTAATATTGTTTTGGTTTTCCTAATTATGGCAAAATTATATACCATTATTATATAAAGGACAATCACTTTGGTTTTTGAAAATTGTTACGTCTTTTTGGAATAAAATATAAGTGGACTAAAGAATATAATATATCTTTTGTATGAAATGCTTGAAAAACAGGGCATAGGTAAAGTTCGCCTTACGAGTCTAGCACTATGGAAAGAATGCGGTTAAAAAAATTGCAATATTGCCAATTCGACTTCCAATAGAAAATACCTTAATATTTATCTATGTTACACACCTACATTTATAAGGAAAAAGTAATATTTAAAAACGCTGCGCGCACGCCTATGACAGGCAACATAAAGCACGAAATGAATGGCGTTATTCCCCCTTGCCCTTCAGACGTCGTAGTGCTAGACTCCTAAGGCGAACTATATACAATCAGGTATACAAACTTTTGGGTCTTTGTGTCCCTAATAAAATAATTTGAAAAAGGTTAACAACAAGGTTAATAGTTTTTGGGTTTTCCCCAGGATTTTTCCTTATAGATATTCGTAATCTTTTATTTAAGAGTGCCAGAACCTGGTCAGGTCATTGATTATTATTTTTAATGGATTTTTCAAGAAGATCCAGTTGCTTGCTCCAATATAGAAATCCTATAAATATGTGCCTATATGTTGCATATGAACGCGATTTTCATTTCCAAACAGAGCTATTAATAATTAATATCATGTTTAAGAAACCAACCCTGGAATAAACACAATTGATAAGTATTTTATTTGTCATATAATTTTTGATATAATTATTAAGTGATAGATAATTTTTACATTTGAAAAAAGGATGGATAAAAACCTGTTGAACGACCACTACCCCAGTGATGATTTCAAATAGTCAGGGTCGGATTGAACAGGGATTTAATTTTTTATTTGAATCAGATTTTTTTTATTTAAATAAAATGCGTCTGTGCAGGACGGGAATTAAAAATTTATTGAACAGTATTTATAAAAAAAGGTAAAGGTGTATCAACAATACAAACAATCCGACGTCACGGGGATTATTCCCAACTCTTCCCGCACCATTGCGAGAAAAAAACTCTTCCAGCAGAGCAAATAGTGCGGTGCGAAAAGAGCCATTTCTCGCACGCTCGTAGAAAAAACGCTTTATTCAGGTGAGGACAGCCCAAAAAGGCCACCAAATATTTTGTTTACCTGCTGCTGATAAAGATAAACTCTGGTTCCCGGTTCGCCTGAAAATATTTATTATAATTTACATAAATTATGCATGTGAATCCTTCCATTCCCAATTTAACTCTCATTTCTACCAACAACGTTTCTACTTATCGTATCCCAATTAATTCACTTTTATAGAAACGCTTCTTTATTTTGAAAGTAAAACCAATCGAAATTTCCGATCGATTGGCGAAAAAGTGAAAAAAAAAAAGAAAACGGGTTTATAAAAGAATTTCCATTCAAACCTTCGTCCAACAATACAGTACTGATTTCATCAAATCTATTTCGCATTATAATATAAAAATAATTGTGTAGACGGAATATACAAACATACTTTTATTTTTGGAATGTTTTTTTTTCTGCCAATTTGTTTAGAAATAAATATATTTTCTTTAAATTATAGTTTTTCTTCATCTCCTTTGAAATAATTCAAATGAATTAAACGTATATGAATTTTAAGTTGGCCATTTTAGGCTGTGTATTTCTTCACCCATTTTCAATCCTGGCCTTTCTAGGTAGAATTGGTCGGGGAGACATCAATAAAGTGGACCTTTTGGGTAACCCCGATTTAGATTTACATGAAACTTCCTACGAAATATACACCCAAACTAGATAATCCATCCATCCTCCGTGGTCAGGCGTAGAGTTGGGTCCTGTCCCAATGTTTTGACGGGAAATTGAAAATTGCTAGGTAGATAAAAATAACACCAAAATGGTTTTCCAAAAATAAGGGTCCAAGGTCAACTCTCATTAAATTTCAGTTCCATGGTTTATCGTCCTGAGCAATAATTATTTTCCTAATACCACCAAAGTTGTACCACCAAGCTTTGGTGAAGTCTGTTCATACGTATGGTGGAATGGTATAGTGAAGTGGAAGTGACTGACTGAGTTCTTTTGAAAAAGACCCGTACGGGTACAGGAACAGAACAGGGGCCTGATTATGAACATCCGATACGGAAATATTCCGAGTCGAAGGTAAACTCGAAGCGTATACGCATCGTATCGAACGAAAAAGCGATTACGAACACACGAAACGGCTTGAATCAGATGTCCGCAATTACAATGGTAGAATGGGAAAACTCTCGTCAGGTGACGTCAGCTGCAGCCCTTTATCGTTGCGTTTACTATGTAAATGCATCATTCATCATTAAATGCATGGAATTGATGGGAAACTTGTAGTGTTTTTATGGATTATGATTATGAATATCTAAAGATTGCAACCGTGTTTCGCATTATATTTTGATATTTAGAAATGCAAAAATTAAATCATTAAGTATACCAACCTTGTGTTTTTTGACAAACAGAGAATCATATTAATTATGAAACAATTATGATTTTTATAGTATATAAAAGAAGGGTGTTTTTGCGGCATAAACTTTCTAATTACCTCTCTACACGTAGATTTTCTTTTCATCCATACTGTTGGTAAGTTTGGCTTTTAAATATTATCTGTGATTCCTAATTATCATTCTTAGCTTAGCTCCTTATCTTGTTCAAAAGGATCTCCATGGTCGAATTGGAAATAAAAGTTCCATTTTTCAATTTTTTTCTAAATTATTATAATAATTGTTCAAATAACACAACGATTTCTAAGTTGAACATGCTCTGTTTTAATAGAAACGATCCGGTCAACGACTGCGACTGATGGCACGTGACGCCAGTCCCAGTATCGATGTTCGATATTTTGGCGAACGTATGTCTTATGGTCATGGGCCCGACTCATCTATCCAATCAGGGGGGGATTGGGGGGATGCTCGCATGTATACGAATATATTATAAAAACCATAAAGATATTAACACAAGAAATACGAAACGAAGCAAAAACGCGCCATAATACCCAATGGCGTAACAAGAAAAACAAGAACAAAACTAAAACAAGGGTGTATGCAAGAAGGACAAAAAATGATTCTGTCAACAGCTGTTATCGGAAGCTACGGAATGGTTCTCGATCCGAGTTGTCTCGCTTCGAGTACGTTCATAACCTCTATTCTAAGATGGCGGATTCGATTCGTATCGGACGTTCGTAATCGGGCCCCAAGGTCAGTACTTTGCTTAGAATCTGTTCATTAAAATATAATTTTAACAATATATCATCATCTATAAGACTAATGATTAGTTCTACAGTGTGTATCAGCCAAATGAAATAAATTCGATAATAAATGAATGCGGGTCTTTTCTAAAAAACGCTCGGACACGTAGATTTTGTTTTTTTGTTTAAGATTTTTTCACCCCAATTTTTTTATACAGGGTATTCCAAGAACAGCTGTACCGTTATCAACTTTATTTTTATAAATAGTACCCCTGTATATTATGACATTTCTGGATTCTGCGGAAAATTTTAAATATATTTCATGTACTCTCAATTTTTATTTGTTAAAAAGGATAGCAACTGATGACGTAAGTACAAACCCTCGTGAAACAAACCGTACCCACTAACGGAATAGCTAAATGCTATTTTCAATTTTACTTCGTACTGCGAGGTTGAGATCTCAACAAAGTGCAAAGTGCAAGTGTGGCACGAAAAGCTGTCGAAAGTATTTCTGAGAATCCCGCTAAGTTAATTCTGGTCTGGTTTAGGCAAATTCACAAAACTGATGGGCTTGAATTTACAGATTTATCTGACGTCAAAAAATTTTCACTCATGTATGAAGTCGTCCATTCCTAAAGCCTAATGACTTAGGAGAGTGTTTTGCTTTCGATTTAGTGGAGATCCAGCCAATTGAAAAAAATCGTTCAGTTTGCCG